TAACAGAATCAAAAAGTCCAAATATGCAAAAACCACCTCAGACTTGAGGGATCCAGAACAAGGAGATGAATTAAGGACAAGAAGTGTACCCAAGTGAGGATGAACAATGGGCCAAAGCTTGAATTGAAGGCGAGGAGCGAACTTCGTTGAAGCCACAAGCTAATTCAAGGGAAATTGATTTTCTGTGAAACCCTAAGAACGACAGCAAATTGGGGAAGATGAAATCTTAAGGAAATGAAGAAGAAGAGCCAAAGAGAATTCGGAAAGGGAACTGTTGATCCAGGGACATTTAAAGTTAACGGTGTAAGGGGTTTCGAAGTGGGCAATGCACGCGAGAAACGAGGAACGACATGATTACTGGTAATCGTCAAAAACCTATTTGCACGTAAATCAAAGTTCACGTGTGGAGATCTGCTTTAGTTAAGCTTTAGCTTAACCCTTGCCCAAGGCAGCTTGATCAAGAGCTGGGGGATAACTGATGATACATAGAATAATTTTCAGAGTATGAGCTCAGGTGCAGAGATCAGACAAGGAGGTCAGGCAAGACACGTAGAGCTTAGAGGATCGGAGCCAGAGCTCCCCCCAAATGAGACAATGACGAAAATGATAAGGGAACAACTGGATGTTAGTTGGAACCCTATAAGCGGCCAAGAGCCATATCCAAGGCGCAAAACCTTCAACCAACCAAGATACTCTCCAAAAATCAAGGAGTAATCTACAGATGAAAGGCTAGGATTTCGGCAGAGATCCCACAGATCAAGGAATAACTCTATAAATAATGTATAATGCCTCCAATAATGGCAAAAAAAAACTTAGCTGCATGAAAGGCAGATTGTAAATTTCATCCCCCATTATTGAAACAAGAGGAACGAAAATCTCCATTAAAGAGTGGATTAGCCGAACTCCCGCGCTAGCAAACCAGTATACTTTCACTGTGTAAGTCACCCTAATTCCCAAAAAAATCCCTTATCATGACCCTCACGAGCCTAGAGCTCAGACCCAGATTGCAAAGTATAATTCCAATCTTCTGCTTGTCCACGTTAACATATGTCATCAGCTTATAAGAAGAAGGAGCTTAAAACAAGAAGGAGTGTTAACATCCAAGTCCAGAAAGACAACTTTCCGAGCAAATTAGAAAAAGTCCGTGAAAGGAGAAGGCTTTAAAAGAAAAAAAAAATGAGGAACATAGGAAGGATAAGACATATTCCCACTCTCACATCAGTGAATGAGTAGACCTACCAATAGACCCCATTCGTTAGGGGATAACCAATCATGACAAAGGTGAAAATAATGAAGGAAAACTCTAATGAAATGATGCATTCGAAACCTAAGGCTGACCTAAAACCTGGCCTAAAAAACCAGACCTTTCCAGGATAATAGATATGGCAACGTTGGTCCTTTGAGGGGGCTGAAACTACCACCCCTTTTGGAATCCATACTTGTCCTTAATAGACCTAGTTTGGGATTCAGTAACCACATTGTGCAAGCCAAAAGTAGTAGGTCAGATCATTCAGGTTGCGTGGTGTTTTTTTCCTTTTTCAAAATCAACTAACGTCGGAGAGAAAGACTTTTTAAGGCATACTACTTTGGAGCCTCCTTGGCTTGCTCTTAGAGACCTTTTTAGGTACCTCTTCAAGTCATTGAGGGGAAACCTCTTTAGGATAAACAACACTTAGAGGATCCATATCCTTGAGGACATTATTGAAGTCAACATTGTCGCCCCTACGTTGAACTGGCCTCAACCTATGTCGGCTCATCCCCAAACATGGAACCCATGGAAGATAAATCTAAGGATGATGAAGACACAACTCCAGACATGGGAACTAGGCAATTCAATCTATGATACAAACGATGAAGGAACAAAAGATTGTCCTCCAAAATCTATGGTTCAAAGCACAAATTGTTAAAAAAAAAAAAAAAGGATATCCTTACAATAATTGGGCAATCAACCAAGCAAAGAAGAGGGATCTAGGAGTTTTCCCAAGCCACCAATGGTAGAAATCCCTAAAAACCACGAAATAAAACTATCTAGCCACTTCCAAGGGCCAAACAGATCTAGGATGAGAAGGAAAAAGTTAACATACCTACAAGGAGGGTCGATTGGACTCAAAAAACGACGAGAATGGTAGACTCCAATAAGAAGAACAAAGACGACTAGGAGAAAAATGTCCCCCTCTTAATGTTGTCATAATAGATGATCAAACAATTTCTGATCATGGTGTCGAGGAAAATAGAGTCGATGGGTTGATAGTGGGTGAGGTAATGCAAATGATGTTCACCATACATGAAGTAGCTGGGGAGTTTTATAACAATTACGCAAAATTTTTGGGATTTAGTGTTCGGAAGGATAACTTGAAGTGTAACAAAAATAAAATTCTTGTATCAAGACGGTGGGTTTGTTCAAGGGAAGGTTATCGATCACCCAAACACCTTGACCGTAGTGACCGCATCCAGGAACCAAGAGGCTTACAAGGGTGGGATGTAATGCATCTTTTCGTGTCAAGTTTGACAATGGGTCTGAACACTGGGTTGTAAAGGAATTCATCCAAGAACATAATCACCAATTGGTTACACCACGTGGTGTGCCATTCCTGCGATCGCATCGGCGTGTAAAGAGTCCCGATAGATATCAAACAAATGCATTGTGTAATGTTGGCATACATACAAGTCAAGTAAGGGATTTTTGGTGCAATAATTAAGAGATTATCATAATGTTGGGTTTACCACGAAAGATTTGTACAATGATGTTGCGACAGAACGTCGATCACAACTTCAAGACGATGATGCGGAGGGGGCGTTAAACTACTTTAGTGGGAAAAAAAAAATCAGACCCTATGTTCTATTTCAACTATAGTGTCCATGAAGATAATTCCCTAAATTGTTTGTTCTGGGCAGACTCATCCTCACGACTTGACTATGCATGTTTCAGCGATGTCTTGGTATTTGATACCACATATCGAACTAATGCATATAAGAAACCTTTTGTTTTACTTGCAGGTGTGAACAACCATAACACAACATCAATTTTTTGGGTGCGTCTTGCTCTCAGATGAGACTGTTGTGACATACATGTGGGTATTGCATACTTTTCTTCATGCAATGGAGGGTAAGACGCCTATTTCAATTGTCACCAATGGTGATAAGGCCATGGAAGGAGCAATAGAGCAAGTTTTTCCCAATGCAACACACAGCTTATGCAGGTGGCATTTGACAAGAAATGCGTTGTCAAATATTAATACTAAAAATTTTGTTCAACAATTTAAACATTGTATGTGTGGTCGCTTTAGTCTAAAAGAGTTTGAGGATCGATGGAAAGCGTCGGTGGATTCATTTGGATTGGAGAATAATAATTGGATTTCAGAAGTTTATTCCAAACGGTCAAAGTGGGCTGAAGCATACTTAAGAGGTAAATTCTTTGCGGGCATAAAAAGTACACAATGATGTGAGGGTATGAACTCATATTTCAATCGTTTTCTGAAGACCCGTCTCCGACTCTTTGAGTTTGTGAGGCAATACAACCGGCCTTTGGAAAGGATCAGGGAGAATGAAGTAAATGATGACCATGATACCCAACACACATCACCGGTGACAACCACACAATTGCGGTGTCTTGAAGAGCATGTAGCATCCATATATACAAGGAAGTTGTTCTTCAAAGTGCGCAATAAGTTGAAGTCCGAATCCATGTTTTTTGTAGTCCAAAAAATTGACAACGGGATCCATTGGAGTTATTACTTGTCTCACTACACGCAACCAAAATCAACATGGAATGTCATATGTTCTCCTCAAAATTATAGTATGCATTGCAACTACTTGAAAATAGAATCTGTTGGTATTCCATGCTACCACATCATAACAGTACTAAAGTATGAGCACATTAAACGGTTCCCTCCGAGTCTCATTCTGAAGTGCTGGACTATATCAACACCCTGAATGTTCCCGGGGCTAATATTGGTTATGTGGTGGGGTCTATACCTAAAGATCTCATGGAATACATCTCCATTAGACTTGATCTCTGTCTGAGCAACCAATATTCTCATTTCTAAACCAAACTGTTTTCAAACAATAATGCAGAAGCAAAAATTTAATGGAGGCAGGTGGTGGTAGCAAATGCTTCTCCCTATAGTGTTTATACAGCTGAGTTGTGACTGAGTGAGGCAGTCAAATAGTCTCTCTGTCGTCAAATTTGGCCTTTATTATACTGTGTCGTGATATGTGCCTCAATAGCATCTCTAAAGAAAGTCCTCGATGCTCGTTGATATTATCCTTTTCCATCCCATCAATTATTCCACTTGTTTATTGAGTTTAAAAATTATTATCCACAGGATATTGTAGTACAGTTGTTTGCAAGAATAATTTTTGAAATTACAGTAGTGCCCAAAACAATGATTTCATAGGCTTGGATTGTTTTTTGGCGAAGGATATTATATGGTAAATTATTGTCAAAATAATGTAAGTTGGCCGGTTGGGTTGGCTCATGCTTGAATGGGGCCCACATTTTAACAAGAATAGTATCTAAATGTAGGATTGGACGGACAAGAATGAACTTGGTGCGTCAACTCAAATTTAAGAAAAACTCAACTCAAAGAAAAAAGATTTTAATTGAGATTTTAATACTTGAGTTAAACTTGAACAAAAAAAAATCAATTGATTTTGATTCCTTTTATAAGCAAGCATCCATGATTATTTGGTCCCTTATATTTGTGTGTGTGTGTGTGTGTCTGTGTGAGGGAGGGAGAGAGAGACAGGGGAAGAGAGAGAGAGAGAGACCAATATAAAACCAATATAAACAAGATTTACGATTCTATTATGCATAGAAATATAAATAAAGCATCCCAAATACAAAAAAAAAAACACAACCTTCAGCAAGCACATATGTCCTTGACAGATACATCTTATTCATAGGAGAAATAGCAACCTTCACACTTCCACACGTTCTTATATCACACAAGAACTTGTTATATCTCACCAATAACCCACATATATCATCTTTATATCTATTACTTGAGATGGTGGGCTTCAATGTCTTTGGTGACAGCGAGACAGAAGTCCATCAAAGTATTTGGGTCTTCCACACCCTCATTCAACTTCTCAAACTCCAAAGTCCATGTCACCAAATTATTTTGACCCTTTGTATCAACATGAACAGTTATAATGAAGGTTTTGTACAACTTCGTGAGATCCCCTTCAATTACCTTGAATGTCACCGACTTTTTTTCTTCGTCAATGGCTTCAATTATCTCTTTTGCAACCTTCTCTTTTCCGTCTGTGGTGACACACCAGTATAGAAATATTGTCATTCAAACATAACTTATTAATTTAATCTATTGTCATAGTAATTAGGTCAATAAATTTGGTCAAGGAATTAAGTCTAAATAACATTACTCAAGACATAATTAAATATAATGCTACTGCCCTCCGAAAATACAATGTGATGGTTTGAGTATATATGTTGAATATTGCATGCATCCAATAGACCCCTCAATAAACATGGAAAAACATGGGAAGGGACATATTTGTGTGAAAGGGTTTACGGCATTAGAAAATGCATGAAGAGAAATTTGGATTTATGTCCTAGAAAATAGAAACCTAGCTTAAGATTAAAATGTCAGAGTGTTTGAACCAGTTTACACGCCCTTCAACTAATTCACTTTTCGGTTTGGTTAAAAACAGGTCATTGACGTCGGGATTATGATATTCATGAATAATTTATCTCTCATGGTCTGACTCTAAGAGGTTACAAAGATTTGAATTCAGGACGTATGAGTTTACAACTCGTCCCTGTGATCACATGAGGTACCCTTGGAGTTTACGATTAAAATTCTTGTACACAAATTCGAAGATGAAATCACAATTCATGTCCTCTTAAACCGCTTACTTTTTTAACAATATGAATCATCTTGAAGGGAGATTTCTTGGATTATTAATGTGCTTGTTAGCCTTGTTAATCCACAAGAATAAAAACTATGGTGCTAAGAATAAAAATAATATATTTGTTTGTCATATATATAATTTTGTAAAACAAACATGTATAATCGCCTACAGAGTCTTTTTATTTAACTTGTGGTACCAAACCGTTATTATCCGTAAACTATATGCATCAAATAAATCATGGTTTTTTGAGAATTAATTTTTAGACCTCAAAGAAATAACCCTCAAAGCTTTTCCATTTGAGCAACATGAATTATATGTATGAATTTTTTGATCTCTAACTACAAGAGATAGATCAGATGACTGCACAAAAACCCATAGCATGTTCCGATGGATCTAAATTTTTGGAATGTCTAGTCTGATTAGAGGTTAAGGCTATTGTAAAATTGGATAATCTAATTAGGAGGGTAATGCTACAGTACCTGTGTGATTTCGTAGAGAAAAAATCATTTGAACTATTGATTTTAAATTGAATGATTTAATAAAAAAAACTAAGAAACGAACATATTGACATGTTTCACTCGCAAAATGTGTAAGTACGGTACCAAAATTTTGGTACCGTAACTAACACTCCTCTTGATTAGAACAATAGTACCTGAGATTTCAAAACACTACTCGACCTTGCTTGACTCATGAAGGCAGAAATGATCGGTAGACCATTAGTAACAACTGTTTTCACTTGTTTTAAAAAAACATACATCATAATATTTACTCAAAAATAAACTAAAATATCTCTTACCATGGGTGTAGTTCCAGAAGATGACAGAGCCCACAGTTCCCCATTCACCTTCATGTATATCACAACCCTGAATGTTTCCGGGACTCATATTTTTTATGTGATGTGGTCTGTGCCTAAAAATCTCATGGAACACATCTCCATCAGACTTGATCTCAGTCTGAGCAACCAATTTTCCCATTTTTAAACCAAACTGTTTTCAAACAATAATGCAGAAGCAGAAATTTAATGGAGGCAAATGGTGGTAGCAAATGCTTGTCCCTACGGTGTTTATATAGATGAGTTGTGAGTGAGTGAGTGAGTGAGGTAGTCAGATTCTCTCTCTCTCCTTAGAGGGAGTAGTTGGCCAACTATGGTTAAAATTACCATGGTACAATTACATATCATATAATATTTTTATATCATATCTTATCTATTTGTCTCATATAATATTTTTATATCATATCTTATCTATTTGTCTCATATGATTGAGATGAGCCACCCACCATGGCACACATTTATGTATTCTGCATGACAGATTACGTTTATTCACTTCACCATATAATACTAGGATATGATTACACAATCGATTTCAATATTTTCATTTATGTTAATCACAAGATTTTGAATTAGATAATCTATAATTATTTATTAAAAAATATTAAATTAATAAAAATATTTAAAAAAATACATGTTACATGTTTTTATCAAATAAAAAGTCAACATACAGTACCAGGAAAATGATATTTCAGTGTCACAATGAGACTTACAATATATATTTTTTTTGGTGTAAGTAAGGAGACTTATAATATTATTGCCCCTATAAAATAACAATTTGTCGACAGATATGGATCAATGATCAATGCAAAGGCTCTGTCGACAGATATTTATATAAATTATAATGTTAATTTACTGAGTATAGATCTTGAAAGTCAAAAGATCTAGGTCATACTATCTCACATGATTGATTCAGTTTTTGAAATTTTTTATTGTCACCAGAGGACAAAATTGGGTCAGTGCATTTTTTCTATATAATTTTTTTTTCTTTATATTATTATTCATCATGAATCTTCACACCATGGCCATAAGAGAGAACTTGCATAGACAAAAAAGAGAGGACACCCAAATTATGTAACATTAATTGTGTAGAAATGTATAACTATCCATGAAGAACTGCTTTTACTAAAATTAAACTTGACCAACAATTTAGGATTTTAAAACCTACCAGAAATGCATAATAGTTTGAAAATGAAGAATAGCCAACGGGTGTCTACATGTGTTATTTTAATTGAGTTGTGTCAGGTCATTCGGTTTGTAAAATTTCGGATATATGTCACATTCGGACATGCCTAGTGTCCAGATCGACACATATAACCAGAGATTTAACAACCTTATAACTAAAATTCGTTTCTCTCTCTCAACCAATTATTCTAGACAATGTTGAGGACATTCTACACCACAAATTTGAGTAAAAATATCTTAGTTCTGACATGACTCGATGTCACAATTAAAAGACATAAATACCCTTGTATAAAAAAAAGGACCAAACAGGCCGTTTCCACTTTTTCTATGTATTATTGCATAAAAACCACTGCCCCCATCCCCAGGCCGAAATAATAATTTTAAAAAAAATCAAAAAACCACTGCCCCCATCACTGGGCCTAAATAATAGTTTATAGCAAAAATCAATGTCTCATTTCGAAAGCCACGTACGTTTAAGGATTCAGAAAATAAATTAGGAAAAAAAAAAAAATTTAAAGGACGATTTTACCCTGAATTGCAAGTTGCCATCAATATTGCTCACAAACGACAAGGGCTTTAAAAATGGGCCCACAAACAATTACCAGGGGGAATGGACACAAGACCCCCAACCCATAAATGCTTACATCAGGCCGAACAAAGCATGACCCATAAATTAATTATCTACTCGATTCACGTCTTAACAACACCCAATAAAAAATCATCTAACTGAAGGCAATTCATCAATAAAGATAACAAATATCAAAAGAACAAAAAAAATGATATATTTTCATATAATACAAGTTGAACGAGTTTGTTGTACTAAAATCAAGTTATTCATGTTTTACATTAATACTCATGATACCAGAGAAAATGGATAGGTCAGGTCAGCAGTTATAGTCATCTCTCTAAGCAGACTTGAAGACAACCCAAGACAAAAACACACCGCCAAGACCACAACACCAATTAAGACTGACCTTTAACATAGAAACTTATGTTCTATGACAATTTTATTTTATAAAGCAATGCCCCTAAGAAAATTGTACTGTGTATCATCTTCTTCCTCACATAATACACAATCCATGCGCAAGAGTCACCCTTAGACAGTGGACTACTCTTGCTCTTTAGCAGGACCAAACACTTTAATCTTTGTATTTTCTTTGTTCCATTTGACCTCTCATCACACTTAATTAACATTTATCATATACTGCATCGTGATTTTTACACCATCAACTTGGCGCCGTTTGTGGCAACGATTTTCATCATTCTAAACCAAAACTCCATTATTGTTTGATGGTCCAGACCATAAACATGAGCCACAACAAAGAAAATCAACCCAATGTCCCTATGCCACAAGCCCCTTTGGACAATCAGTCCTAGGTCATTCCAGCAATGGAAAATTGATATTGTGGGACTTTCTCCCTAGGAATTGGTCAATGCAAATTTGTAGTAGTTGCTATCTATTACTTCACTAACCGCTAGCAACAATCACTAAGCAAAAGATGAAGAACTTTGTCTGGAAATGTCTTATTTGCAGATTTGGGATCTCTAGGGCCATAGTTACAAAGAACGACAAACAATTCAACAATGATGGTTTCATAAGATTTTGCTCAGAGCTGGGCATCAAGAACTACTACTCTTCACCAGCTCATTCCCAAGCCAACGAACAAGCAAAGGTGATGATCAGAACAATAGTTAAAAAACATAAGACAAGATTGGAAACCTCAAATAGTCAATGGGTAGATCACCTTCCCAGCATTCTATGGGCCTACAAAACAACATTTTGAACGACTACGAATGAGACCCTTTTCAACCTATCTTTTGGAACATAGGCAATCATTATAGTGGAAATTGGACTTTCATCGCTCAAAACAAAGCTGGTCAGACTTGAGCAATGATAACTCTCTATTCCTAAATCTCAATTTCCTTCATGAAAAAAGAAACGAAGCTTTAGAAAGAATAGTAGCTTATCAATATAGGACAACTCGATATTATGACCAAAGGATTAGGAAAAGAAGCTTTAGAGAAGGAGATTTAGTCTTGAAAAAGGTACTACGTAGTCAATGATGGTATACCATCGATGAAAGATCCTCATCAAGAAAGCTCGGACCAAATTAGAAAGGATCATACCAAGTCAAACAAATCGTCACACCTAAAAACTATGAACTGCAAACTGAAGAAGGATGAACTCTAGTCCACTCTTGGATTACATAACTCCTTAGGAAGTATTATCAGTAGTTTGTCCAGGTCAACCTTTTAAATTTATTTCTTTGAAAACATTGTAGAGCTCCCTCTTTTGGGATGCTTATTGATGATACCTCAAATAAGTTATAAGAGCGAGCTCAGGAAACGAGATCAGCTCAGGAGGTCAGGAATGATACGAGGAGCTCAGAAGTCCAGCATCAGAGCTCCCCACCTGGGCAAGAAAAAGGGAGTTTAAAGGTACAATAAAGGAGAGGAATATTTGCAGAACACTCTCTAAGAGTCTGGGGGGCAACACAACAACTGTCAATAAAGAAAACTCTATCAGTTGAATAAGGATCTAAGAAGAGGGGGATATGAGACAGAGATCGACCTTGGTTCCTAAAATAACATAATCAAAAAGTCCAAAAATGCAAAAACCACCTCAGACTTGAGGGATCCAGAACGAGGAGATGAATTAAGGACAAGAAGCGTACCTAAGTGAGGATGAACAGTGGGCCAAAGCTCGAATTGAAGGCGAGGAGCGAACTTCGTTGAAGCCACGAGCTAATTCAAGGGAAATTAATTTTCTGTGAAACCCTAAGAACGACAGCAAATTGGGGCAGATGAAATCACAAGGAAGTGAAGAAGAAGAGCCAAAGAGAATTCGAAAAGGGAACTGTTGATCCAGGGACATTTAAAGTTAACGGTGTAAGGGGTTTCGAAGTGGGCAATGCACGCGATAAACGAGGAACGACATGATTACTGGTAATCGTCAAAAACCTATTTACACGCAAATCGAGATTTACGTGTGGAGATCTACCTTAGTTAAGCTTTAGCTTAACCCTTGCCCAAGCCAGCTTGATCAAGAGCTGGGGGACAACTGATGATACATAGAATAATTTCCAAAGTATGAGCTCAGGCGCAGAGATCAGACAAGGAGGTCAGGCATGACACGTAGAGCTTAGAGGATCAGAGCCAGAGCTCCCCCCAAACGAGACAATGACGAAAATGATAAGGGAACAACTGGATGTTAGTTAGAACCCTATAAGCAGTCAAGAGTCATATCCAAGGCGCAAAACCTTCAACCAACTAAGATACTCTCCAAAAATCAAGGAGTAATCTACGGATGAAAGGCTAGGATCTCGGCAGAGATCCCACATATCAAGGAATAGCTCTATAAATATTGTATAATGCCTCCAATAACGGCAGAAAAAACCTTAGCTACATGAAAGGCAGATTGTAAATTTCATCCCCCATTATTTAAACAAGAGGAACGAAAATTTCCATTAAATAGTGGATTAGCTGAACTCCTGAACTAGCGAACCACTATACTTTCACTGTGTAAGTCACCCTAATTCCCAAAAAATCTCTTATCACGAGCCTAGGAGCTCAGACCCAGATTGCATAGCATAATTCCAATCTTCTGCTTGTCCACGTTAACATACGCCATCAGCTTATAAGAAGAAGGAGCTTATAACAAGAAGGAGTGTTAACATCCAAGTCCAGAAAGATAACCTTCCGAGCAAATTAGAAAAAGCCCGTGAAAGGAGAAGGCTTTAAAAGAAAAAAAATTGAGGATCGTAGGAATGGTAGGATAAGATATATTCCGACTCTCACATCAGTGAATGAGTAGGCCTACCAATAGACCTCATTCGTTAGGGGATAACCAATCATGACAAATGTGAAAATAATGAAGGAAAACTCTAATGAAATGATGCCTTCGAAACCTAAGGGTCGACCAAAAACCTGGCCTAAAAAAACCAGACCTTTCCAAGATAA